GATAAGCCTAAATCCTATTTTTTTTTAATCAAATCCTGAAACAAGCATGTTGATGTTTGTGTGTCCTCACAGAGTTGCTGCCATGCTGGCTGTTCCACTACTTTTAAAACATTTTAACTGGTGGGTTTTCTTTCCTTCTTCCTTTTCCAGTTTTTCTTCCCCTACACTTTGATCAAGTTTGACATTGAGAAGGAGGAACCTGTCAGGGACTCGCAGGGTCTGTGCATCCAAGCAGCTGTAGGTGAGTCTGTAAAGAGAAATCGGGTTCAATTTAAAGGAGTTTTAGTTTGATAGAAGTGAAATTAAAAAGGAGTTTTGATTTATTTTGTTTCCCGATGTCTCTACCAGGTGAAACGGGACTTTTAGTGGGAAGGGTAACAAAGAGGTCCCCCTTTGTTGGCTACGCTGGTAACAAGGAGCAGACGGAGAAGAAGCGGCTTCGAGACGTCCTGAAAAAGGGCGACCTGTACTTCAACACTGGCGATTTGCTTCGGTTCGACAAAGAGAACTTTGTGTACTTTCAAGATCGAGTCGGCGACACTTTCAGGCAAGTTGTGACTCATTTTTGTGTTGACCTGTCGCTTTGTTTTTGTGGTTCTGCCCAGACGATCGAGTCTAGACTGAGTCACCGTTTGGTCTGGTTTAGTTCTCAGCTATTAAAAGTATAAAAATATGCAATTAACAGCTGGTTAGAATAGTGTGTGTGAAAATGGCTTTTTTTCTTTTGTGCAGGTGTTTACTTGCAGATCAGGTTCAAACTGTGCTGCAGAAATTGTTCATTGGAGTCTTTTCATGTTTTTTGTTTCAGGTGGAAAGGAGAGAACGTCGCCACATCGGAGGTTGCAGACATTCTCACAATGGTTCACTGCATATTAGAGGCGAATGTTTACGGTGTGAAAGTTGAAGGTAAACTCACTCGGGTCATAAATATTAAAACCTTACAGAGCTGTCTGCACTTTGCATTTCATATTTCTCTCATTTTTCAATCAAGGTCATGAAGGGCGAGTCGGCATGGCAGCTCTCACTTTGGAAGAAGGACAAAAGTTCGACTGCTCGGCCACGTACACGCAGGTCGTCAACTACCTCCCAGCTTACGCGAGACCCAGATTCATCAGGATTCAGGTAATAAATATCAATAAATAATACATGCACATCCAGACCAGACGGGCTGCTATGGCTTAAAGATATTGTTTTAATTTGTGGTCTGATTCTGCTGTACTCACGGAGTTCATCCTTTCCACCTTTAATTAGTGCATGCTCAAAGGCTAAACGTGCTAAACGCTTGGTGTCTGAAATCCAGATGGCTGAAGCGGTGCGTGGATCCGAGTCTGAGCCCGAGTTTTTACTGTGTAAGATTACTAATAATGCAGATCAGAAATCAGATGTGTCATTGGGTCCCAATGTTGTTTTTTCTAGACAAATATTAAGGATTTCAGATTTTTCCTTTGAACCAAACAGGAAGGCAGTGCAGTGATGTAACCCTAACACTTCCTTCAGGGTTAGGGACAGCTGCAAGAAATGCTGACTCTGGCAACATATTTTCATGACTTAGTAAAACCGTAGAGGATGTGCCCTCCAGATAAAATTATTGGAGATGATTAAAAAGAAAGTTCCCAAGAAAGTGCAGTACAGGACCGTTCTGCAGCTACTTTAACTATGAAATATTTGGATTTATGTACCAAGGAAATTACTCTAATATACCTTTTACCCCCAAAACTGCCTTAATTTATTGTGGCATAGATTCAACAAGGTGAAACATTTGTCAGGAACTTTGCTCCATGTTGACCTGACAGCATCACACAGCTGCTGCTCCCGTTCCACCACATCTCAAACACACTACTCAATTGAGATCTGGTGACTGTGGAGGCCATCTGAGTACAGTGAACTCACTGTCATGTTCAGGAAACCGATTGAGATCATATGAGCTTCATGGCATGGTGTGTTATCCTGCTGGAAGAAGCCATCAGAAGATGCATACACTGCGGTCATACAGGGATGGACATTAGAAACAATGCTCACATAGGCTGTGGTGTTTAAACGATGCTCAGTTGATACTAAGGGTCCCAAAGTGAGCCAAGAAAATATCCCCCACTCTATTACACCGAAACTATCCTTAACTGTTGAGCCAACGCATGAAGGAGCAATGATTACATGCTCTTTCCACCAAATTGTGACCCTACCATCTGACTGTTGCAGCAGAATAAGACGCTCGTTAGACCAGAAGATGTTTTTCCCAATCTTCTAAGTGAACTTTGATCTGTCAGTGTGAATTATAGCTTCAGTTTCCCGTTTTTGACTGATAGAAGCACCGGCATGTTTTTATCTCTTATCTCTTTTGAGTTAATGTTGCCGTCCTCTAATAATAACTGTGTAATATTGCTTTGCAGTTTGTAGCTGATATCTGATCTGATTGACAGCATTGTCATTGGTGGTTTATCTTAATTATGTTTTGGTTTTCTTTGCTTTTTGTTCTACACTAAAGCTTGACACAAAAACATCTTTCAAACTGTGTTTTGCAGCCCTGCCTGGAGATGACGGGAACCTTCAAGATGAAGAAAGTGAAGTTGGTGGAGGAAGGATTCAACCCAGCTCACATCAAAGATCCTCTATACTTCCTGGATCCTGAAAAAAAGACTTATGTGCCCTTGACCGAAGAAATCTACAGAGCAGTCGTCTCGAAGGAAGTCAAACTCTAACACAGAAGCTAAAGTAGTCACTGCTGAGCCACTTTGTTTGCAAAGAAATAACAATAATGGATCTTAACAGACACTAATCTCAGGGACGGACTCGGAAACGTCAAGTCACGTTTGGAGAGATGGTTTTCATCTTTAGCACAGCTACCTTCACCTCTTACAGTGACACTATGTGATACAGAGAGTATGTGCTACTCACTGTGTTCTTAATTCGTTAATTAATTCTTTGGACAGTTAACCATAACATGCACATTTTACTGTAATCGCCTTTGTTTTTACATTGGACTGAAGCTCTTTTAATCCATTCCGATATCAGAGTCTGGATATTGACTTTTCAACATCTACTGTATCTCTTATGTAGGGATTTGTTGTTACCTAACTGGACTTTTGTACAGAGGTAAAAGCAGACACTGCGTTATCTGTTTGTGTACTGATGACACACACTGTAAATTAACAGTTTTATTGCATAACACTGCCCTGAAGTGCTGAAGTGTTAATGTAGCAGCTGCCGTTGTGCCCTTATAACCACATATGTGCACAATAAGAGGAACCTCCAGGCAGGCTTGCGGGGTGACTAACCTGCGCAACCTTTGACATAAATCAGACGAACTCTGTCACACCCTGTTGTTTAAAAAAAAAAAAAAGAAAGGAAAAAAAACATAAAAAGAAACTTGACAAACAGGCAGAGATCAGTGAACTCTGATAAGATATTTCTAAATGTTGTCTGACACTGAACTTTGTCTTAAATGACTCCCTTGAGCTACTGCAGAGTAAAGGTTAAACCAATCGAATTTATACAGGAAAAAATCAAGTTTGGTTATTCCATCCTATTGACCTTTATTTTGTACAAATCACAGGGCCTACAGCAATATGACAAAAACATTTTATGTGGAATAGTTACACTTGTATAGTACGGATTTTTAAATGATTCAATTCTAAGAAGGTCAATGAACTTTTCCACCCAGATACTCTGATCAGAAAATATTTAAAACAGAGCACCACAGACTGGAACTGGTTTTTGGTAGAGCCCTAACAGGAATTTCGGGGGGGGGGATGTGAAAGCACCACACTTGCTGATTTTTGATGGATCCAGAAAGCTGACTGAATGAGGAGACCAAACGTTCACTCCATCCTGACTGCAGCTAAAGTGCTGCAGGAAAAAAAAACCTGCCATCTCCACAGCTCCATCACTCAGGCCTTCAGAGTAATATTCAGTTCAAGTTGAATTTATATAGAGCCAAATCACAACAGTTGAGTCAAAGCGCTCCATTTTTGTAAGGTAAAGACCTTACAATAATAATTGCATCATGGATAGCCTCGAGCAGCCTGGGCCTATTGCAGTGTAGACAGGATTCTGGGTCACCTGATCCAGCGCCAACTATCTACATTATCACAAAGTAAAGTTTAATCAAATGTTAAAAGGAGAGATTGTGTCTGTCTGATGAATCCAAACTTGGAGCTGGTTCCACAGAAGAGGAGCCTGGAAGCTGAAGGGGCTGCTTTTCTACTTTTAAATATGATAAGAACAACAACTGAGGCTGCAGTCTGAGTGAACTGCTGTAGAATGGTGGGTATGGTATTATGGGGTCTTTAAGATAAAATGGTGCCTGATTATTCAAGACCTTGTATGTGAAGGGAATGGATTATGAATTCAGTTTGACAACCTACTTTGAGTTTACTAAACAGCATTCAAACTCACAGCACACAGATTCTCGATCTTATGAGTCGAATTCCAAAAATACTCTGATCAACAGCACTTGTCACTGGATTCCTGATAAAACCCTCATAATGCAATAAGGCAGTGGTGGGATGGTGCTATGAGTGTACATAATCTAGAAAAGGATAAATATAGCCAAAGTGTCCTTGAAGAAAACCTAGGCTGGGGAAGATGGTAAACAGATGCTTCCTGTCAAATAGGAGACGAGAAGTTCCTCAAATCCAGCAGTCCAAAGGCTGCAGATGTGCTCAGTGTTAAATGCTGCTTAAAGGGTTTCTACAAATCATTTAGTAAACATGCAAACATTTCTAGAAACACGTTTTGACTTGCCTTCTTATTGATTTTTTTCCTGATATGCAAAAATCCAGAAAATCCAGTACAGGGAGTTAAGCTCGCTGTGTGAACAGTAACCCACCCCAACGTCTCACTACATTTACAGATGGAACATTTTAGCAGGCAGGCGCAGAAAACTCAAAACTGAGCAATGAATTATTTCAAAAACAGCCGCCAACTCCTGAACCCTCGCGGGAATCATCTCGGATCCATTTGGCAGAAAATAAACTGGTGTTGCTGTGTCGCTATCTAAAAAGACGTGGGAAACAACACAACAGTGGAATCTGGGCAGCGTTTACTTTATAAATGAATTTATTTAGTAATACAGTGGTATACTTAGAAATGTGTTGCAAAGGAAAACAAATGAAAGTAAAATCAAAATAAATAAAAAGAATGTCAGCCACACGGGGAAAAAAACCAAAAAACTAGTGTCGGGTTGAAGCAGTGTTGTCATATCAAAAGAAAAATAGTACTGATGTGCCATAATAAATTGTCTTAGTACAAAAATACATTTCAGGGCACACAATACAGCATCCAGTATCACAAAGAAAGGAAGGGACCACTCTTCACAGCAGCCCCCCTCAAATACGTCTTTTAAAATCATTTAAACCGAGCACTTCTCTATTTTGTAAATAAGAATAAAAAGTTTTCTGACAGTTAAAAATGCCTTAAGTAGTGTGTATGTTTGTAATGTGTGTACGTGTTTGTATACGTTGGTAGAAAAGTCGGACTTATTACTGCTTATGTCAGTTCCAAGGCTCAGGGGTATAACCAGAATACAAACATAACCAATGTAACCGCTTTCTCTTTTTTAAACAAACGTTTTCTCTTTTATACAAAATAACAAAGATGTACAAAAGTTCATTTACAGAGAACCAAGGCCATATGCTAGCATTATGTACAGCCACAACTTAAACATCTTCTAGCTTGTTGTTTTGTTTTTTTGTATTTCCTCAGACTTCATATGCATAGCAGTAAAAGAAAGCATACCTTTTTCATCAGTCTCAATTATTCTCGTGTGCTAAATCCGAGTTCACCGTTTTTAGGAGAAAATGCAGAGACAACGACGACAACTTCTTTTTCTTCTTCTTCTGCTTCTTCCGTAGTGATCGCTACAACTGAAGGAACCGATGTTTTAAAGTTTCACTGAAAAGTTAATATGCAGATAAGGCATCACTGCTTGCAGTGTACGATGGGATTTCTCATGTGTTGAACTTAGTAGTAGCAGGCTTCTGAACCTGAGTCATAGCACATGCATAGATCTCTAGACAGCAGGAGTTTGTAAAATCAAGTCAGTATATTTATCTACGGTAAAACATTTCTACAAAAAACACGTTTGAAACAGAGAGAACCCCGCTGGACGAGCGGGTGTCTGATACTAATACTTAACCTTCATTCTTCATTAGTTTTTTTTTTTGTTTAAATCTCGATGATGCCTACGTCTTCATGAGTCACGCTGAGCAATTTCTCAAGTCCTCAGAGATCCATCATGAGTGAAACGCATGACCACAGAACTCACAAACAAAAGTTTTGCATATACAAACTTTGCTGTTTGTGAGTTGTTGTTTTATTTTTGTTTTTATTTTTACAGTATGCAAAAATCAAACTGCAATATTAAACAAGTTTTCAAAATTATCCTCTTTTGTTTTGTTTTGACCTCCTCCACCGCTCTGAACCTTTACAAAATTAGCTAAAAATGTCAAAATGTGATTATTCAGTCTGTGGCACTGGTCATGCATTCCAACTCCAGTTCCTTTTGTTTAAATAACGTTTTCATCTTTATTTTTTGCAAGCCTTGTAAGCACCAAACCAAAAAAAAAGAAAGAAAGAAAGAAAAGAAAGGAGGAGTACAGCGTTGGGGATGCTGGACTCTGACTCTCCTTGTGTGTGTTTTTTTAAGTTTTTTTAAATTTTGGGCACAGTAAACAACGTGAGTTTGAGTTCATACTTCATCAAGCATTTTGCACCGCGGAGTGGGCACGGCAGGGGAGACTCGGGTCCCCTGCTTTATCACATTCAGTAACAGGCCAGCTGTTGCCCTCTTCAGAAGTGGTCAATGAGCACAGACACACAGTTTGCACCCACCAGGTAGTTTGGGTCTCCAGGGAGAGATTTGTTCTGCCAAGTTTTGGGATCACCTGCGGGGAACAAGAGACGTGACGTCAGCTGATGGAGAGCAGCTTTAAAATACAGAAAACTGAAACTGAAGGTACTCGAAACACGCGATTTAATAAAAATGCAAAGGCTGGTGATTTCAAATGATAGTGCACAAATTAATGAAGGGTGTTTCATGAATTTATGTTCCTCAGATGAGTGCATGTAATTAAGTAGTACTTAATTTAATGAATTTCAACATACTTATTCCACACATGAATTTAGAAGCAACCAAACTAGCAGGACTTCAGTTGAAAGGTCATGTACACCTTTGTAAGGCACCTTTGTAAAAGCATTCAGCGCCAAGTTAGTGTCTACGTGCTGCCTCGTGATCTGAAGTCCTTACTGTCATTTTTAAATCAAAAACGAATTACTTTAGTAATAAGAAAAGTTTACTAAAAGCAAGAACCCTGAGTGTGTGTCTAAATATACACCGACTGGCCACTTCATTAGGTGCACCTGTTCAACTGCTCAGTGAGGGGCTGGTCTGGGCATTTTGCAAAGTCGCTGACCAAAATCTCATATCCCGATATAAGACTTCTATCGTCCCAATAACGATATAAATCACAAAAATGTAACATTTTCTGTAAATTCTGTGAATCTCGGGCAGCTCGACTTGCATGAAATGTTTCCAGCTGCGCGTCATGGAGTCGAGTGTTTTAACAGATGCATGAAACTATACATTTTTAGACATAAGTTGTAACGGCCGCCGTTTTCTTTGCGAGTATTTATTACACGGTGTGCTGCGGGGGAAAGCCTGTTCTAACGTTTGAGTCTAAGGTTTATTTTTTAGCACCTGGCGGCTCTTTTTTACTTCTCATTCGTAAATAATCTGCTCTTTCACGTGATTCGGTTTATTTTGAAAAGTCTCAACAGGATCTTGAGCTTTATTGTGAAAGGTTTATGTGGAACATAAACAAGCGGACACGCGAAGGTGTTACTGTCGCTGTTGCTAACGACAACGCATAAAAACAGGCGCTTGTCCTCTTTCTCTTATATTACATATAAGAGAAAGAGAGAACTTTAATAAATTAATATAACCACTACAGTGACCATCAAAATAATGAAAAAATATTGCCGTAGAGTTTATTTTGCGACACCACGAAACAAACGATAGCGTAAAATGAAACGATAGACGTTTTTATATCGTCATCCGATATATTTCAATATATCGAACAGCCCTACTTCTCAATAGATTATACTTAAACACAAGATCTCCCAAGCACTTACCTTATACCTTGATTATAAAACATTACCCTATTTCCTACATCTTGACTCACATCTGAATTTAAGTACGGTCACAGTATAGATGATAGGGTACTCATGTAAAGGTTTCTGAAACTAGATCAGTTAACATGCCTATAAATTTCTTTCATTTCATAAAACATCTTTTTACTGGTCACAACACTTATCTGGCATGTAAAACATCACAAACTGTGACATTAAACATAAAAATTCAGCAAATGAAGACCAAGAATCAAACAAGTGGGCATTTGTTCTGTAACTGTAAAATTTCAACATTTCTGAGAAATCCTGTTTAATATTCCATAGGAAAAGCAGCAAATCCATCCAAAATAAGCAGCTGGAATGAGGTCCTGTTTGGAATTTTCCTCAAAGAAAAGTTCAATGTGTGGTTGTGAGCTCATATTTGGTATGTATCTGCTTGATATGGTCGGACACGTGCTCATTATACTTTCGAGAAAAGCGTCAGGAGAAAAGCACTCGTTTTCTATAGTACACAACTCTCAGTTTTCACAATTATGGAGACATCCAAACATAATGATGCCAGCTCCTTTAATAATTCCTTTTAATTAACGTATATTGGGTGTTGGCTCCAAACGAATAGAAATCCAGTATCACTGGTATCACTTATCTAACAGTTTAGACCAGGGGCCTCAAACATAAGGGCTTGAATCAAAGACTCCAATGAGGTGCACTGGATGGCTTTGGAAAATGTGAAAGACGGCATGAATTTTTTACTTTTAACTTTTCACACATTTCACAGCTCTTCCTACTGATAAAGACCTCTCCAATCGACATTTATGCTACTGTTATTTTACATATTTATTATTTGCAAAAGTTGTGCTAACAGATTACTTTCATTTATTGCAGCAGCTTTTTATGATGTTGTAGAAAAACTGAGAAATACTGCTGAAATTACCATTTTTTTAAATTATAATAGGACATCACAGACATTAAATGTGTAGTTAAACAGAGGTAAGTTTTATTGGTATGGCCCACTTAAGATCAAAGTGAATTGTTTGTGGCCAGCGATGTTAACGTTTGGTCTAATGTAGGGCTGCCACAAACGATTATTTTTGCGATTAGTCGACTAATCAGATCATGCATCCATTGGATGTAAAACGTACAGCTTATTGCACCAGCAGCATCTGCTCTTATATAACTATCATTAGCTTACAGCTTTAAGTGTTTACGGTGCTAACTAAAAATAAAGACAAGATGATAGTTTATTAAATTTTAATGACATTTGCAGATTGTTTCGGTGAAGTTTAATAAACTCCTTGCTATCTAAAATATAACAGGACACCGGAGTATATTCTCGAGCATCTCACACTTCTGATAATCAGTTGTCTGCTTGACGTTTATTCAGCTGTGTAAAAACTATAACTTTAATCTCAGCCAAACCGATTTACTCAGGAACAAATGAAATACTTAAAAAAAAAATCCAAACAATAACATTTTAAAGTTATCCAAGTGACTTATACATCATGTTTAACCTGAGTAGTGAAAGACGGCGGTGGGTTTGAAAACGATTTGCCGGGAGTCCGGTGTTCTCACCGGCTCTAGTGAGCCTTGAACCCCGGCTCGCTATCGAGCTGGTGGGTAACAGACGTCTCCGAAAACGTCGGAGCGCTTTTGAAAATATGTGGTGTCTTGATAAACTGAGCAGATATTTGAGGTTTACACAGCTACATTCTAGGCTGAAAACATGTTAAATGTTTATTTTTTGACCCAGAAAGAATAATAAGAGTAAAGTTAAAACTAACTAGCTGCCGCCGTTGTTGGAAACTGAGCAGGGCCGCACTGGGCTGCGCTATGAATTCTGGGACGCAGCTTCTTCTTCTTCGGGGTTTAACGGCAGCTGGCATCCTTGTACATGCAGTGCTGCCATCTTCTGTTTCAGTCCGTTATTACACTCTTAAATCCTGCTACTTATTCCTGCGTCTTTTGTGATCTTACAAAGCTTCAAACGACACGTCGGCTATTAAATTGGTCGTCGACGATTTTGATAGTCGACGTAATCGTGACTAGTCGACTAACCTAGTCTAATGATAGTTTTATAATGTCATCCAACCCACAGACTTGGTGTTTGTCTACAGCAGCACCTTCATCCACACTAAACTGGATGTGGAACCGCCTCTGTCGGAAAACTGATTCAGAGTCAGCTGGTAAGATTTTCAAGATTAAAAATACTAGCTCTTTATGTCTGTTTATAGTTCATATAACTAATTGGAACTAACAGAGAGCCCAAAATAAATAACACCACCAACAAACAGCACATGCATGATAAAAAGGTGAGGGGGGGGGAAACAGAAAACAGATGTGAGTGTTAAACTGATTCAGAAAGCAATGAACTCGCTTTGCTGAACACCAAAGTCTGCACACAGACCCCAAAAGGACAGAGAGAGGACAGCATACCCGACGAGGAGTCGGAGGATTTTAGAGCAAAAGACCAACCATCAGGGGTCATTGACGCACAGTGAGGTAAGCGCAGCTCCACCGGCTTCAGGAACTTGAGTCCATGTGGGCCACACATCACCAGCGGACTAAGCAGCGTTTCTCCTGCACAGATATACAACCAGAGTTAAACTTCACAAACCAAACACCCGATTTAATAGTCTGTTATTAGGCCATCGTAGTAAATAAGAAATATATGCTTGTTTAAAAGTGTGTAACCACCAGTATAACCACTGTTTATTTCCCTATCTAGTTCAGGGTCTTTTTTCTGTAGTAGTTTTTATATTGGTTTTGAAACTCAAAGAGAATTTCTACAACTATCCAAGAAAAGCAAAACTTAAACTTTGTTTTTTAAGCTTTTCATGTCTGACAGCTCACATAAATACAAAAAAACATATAAAATACAAACGGGTACTCAAAGCAAGCAGAAGCACCCACTGTTTGCACCTCACAGAGAAGTCTCAGTCACCCACTCAGTCTGCCTGAATCCCAGACAAGCAATTCCCAATCCAGACCACAGCCAAGTGACAAGTGTTCTCTCAACTGAACAACCTTCAAACTGTCTGCAGGTACCCCAGAAATCACAAAGCACAGGCAGGACATCCCCATGTGGGGCAACCCCGGGCACCAGGGCCCTAGATCTCATACCAGGACCCCCCCCAAAAAAGGCCAGCCATCCGGGCCAGGCCCCACACCACAAGGCAGGCCCCACCACCACCACCAGGGCACCAGAACAAACAAATACATACCCCAAAACAGCTCTCCACACAAACCCATTAAGTAATGTAATTGATCACTGGGGACCAGAGAGAGTTTTTCAGAGATGGCAGGCATTCTCTCCAGACTAATGTGATCTAGAGCAAGGGTAGGCAACTCCAGGCCTCGAGTGCCGGTGTCCTGGAGGTTTTAGATGTGTCCATGATCCAACACAGCTGATTTAAAGGGCTAAATGACTCCTCAGCATTTCTTGAAGTTCTCCAGAGGTCTGGTAATTTGATTCAGGTGTGTTAACCCAGGGTGGGATCTAAAACCTGCAGGACACTGGCACTCGAGGCCTGGAGTTGCCTACCGTGATCTAGAGGAAAACATCTATATTCAGTAATACAGAAATGGTTTTTCAATTTTCAATTCATGAGACTAGTTTTCTTAGTGATGCATAAGGTGGTAATAAGTGTGTGTTTGCTTCCATGGGCAAACACATCACCAAGCCTTACATCACTTAAAATGCATAGCTTGAAAAACTTTATTCTCATCTAGGAAGACAAAGCCCCTGCACTACTACAGTCAACATTTCACAACCTTCACCAGTTTCCTCAGATTCTGTACCATCTCACAAGTTGATAAATCTAGGTTAGGGAGGATCTCTATCCAGTACTGAGGAACTGACCTTTCTCCTTGTCGAGGGGGGGCAGGATGCTGTTGTCCCGGCACACCTTGAAGTAAATCTCCTGCTCGACACTCTCCGGGATCGCACCCTGGGGGATGATGATGCTGACGCCCGTCTCAATAGAACTCAGGACCCCTCCGTTACAGTTGAATATTCCACGGGCAGTGGCCACCACTGTGTGCCCTTCATCTTCATCGTCATCATCCAGTGCACTGGGGCTGAGGGACAGAAGCAGAGAGGAGAACATCATCAGTCAAATCAGTGTAGGCAGAGAATAATGTAGAGCAGAGGGCATGAGAGCAAACCCCCTGTGCGCAAACAAGTTTCTCTCCCTTTCTCAGCAGCTCAGTAATTACTTTCTCTGAGAATTCGATGCTACTAGGGGTGAGAACATGTCTTACCTTACAGGGATGGCCTTGGGAATGGCGTTGATGTTATTGTGCTGGTATTTGGGCCTGTTGTCTATAGTGCGTGTGAAAGTGTCTAGGCCACTGTCGTGATCAAGGGGCTGCGGTGACAACTGAGGTTTCCCACTACTGTTGCTCACCACACTGGGCTTGCTGAGGAGGTCCGTCTTCACCTGTGTGTCATTGGGCAGCAGATTGTGGTTGAACTTGGGACTCTCAAACTTGCGCTCAAAGGGTCGGGCTGCACTGGTGTAAGGCTTCGGGACGTAGCGGTTATAGCTAGTTGGTGCAGGAGTGCTCAGGGTTTTTGGGGGTGCTGCATCAGTGCCATTGACTGGGGATTTGTCGGGAAGGCCCCTCGGGGGCAGGTAACTGCCAGGTGTGGGTTCATCCCTACTGGTCGGCCTAAGAGTTGTCAGCTCAGGTTTAGGATTGGGTGAGGTCAATGGTTCAGGTACGGAGTTAGCTGAAAGAGGATATAATAAATCAAGTAATTTAAATACAGTCTTGATTAAACATACACAAGAGATTATATATACAGTTATGTACTTTCTATATGTACTGAAGAGTTTAGCTACTACCAACAAATGAGCAAAATCAAGATTTTTTTGCTAGATTTACAGAACTGTGCCGAGCTTTGACACTCAGTAGAGATCTTTCATCAGCAACAAGCAAAAAAATGTCCTGCCACAGATAGTTTTGCTTACAGTTCTGGTCTGACTACCATGCAGCCAGTCTGATCTCACAGAGAGAGAGAGAAAAGTCTTTTTTTTAAAGCCATTATCACTTCAGGGACAGTCCTACAAAATTACATTAACACAAAGAGGTAGCAGTAGCAGGAGGCACTATGTTTACTTTATAATGCATGTGTGCACAAAAAAAAAAGGCTAAAAAAACCCCCCCAAAAACATTCTAGACAACCAATGCTAGTTTGGAAACCACGGTTTTGTTTAAGAAATCAATTTAAGAACAAACAAAAAGATGTGAGAGGAAGCAACTGGAAACAGTAGGAAAAGAAATATGAAGATATGTATATGACTGTATATGAGAACAGAAGAAAAAAAGTGGCCGAAAAAGGCAAAGCTTATTGGAGAAAGCATGTCATGGCACCGATATAATTCATGTCATGTGTATGTTATTCATGTAATAACGTACAGACGAAGGTTTGAAGGCCAGCAGAAAGTTTAGGAAGCTTACCATCGCCAGGACTGAGTTTGGGGAGTGTGGCGGGTGGAATGGCGGAGGCCGGGGGCCCATACTGTGAAGAGGGACTGATTTGTGGCAGAGGATCGTATCTTTTTTCCACTGGACTCACTTTCTCCACAGACTCAACTCTGCAGTTAGATGGCACAAACAATTATTATTCAACAGCTGTGATGACTTAAAACCTGAGAAATGTTGTACAACAGGCAGCACTTTTGGCACAGGCTGAGCTGTTATACCTGTTGTATGGGTAGGATAGCTGAGGTGGTTTGGGCAGATCATGGAAGCGGTTAATGCCAGGAGCGGGCTGGCCCATGGCCTTGCTGTCAAAGCTGCGACGATCAAAGTAGGACAATTGCTTTCTGTAGTATTCCTCATCCTCATCTGGGTCATAGTGGTTGGAACGGACTACATCATCCAGGGGCTTGGTGTGGGGCTTCTGTGGTTCAGGAGCCCTACAGAAAAAGACAAACAGCAGAATGATTGAGGCAAATCAGAAACTGTACACTAACTTAAAGTAGAGTCTATGAGATTAATTTATCAGATATCTTTGAAATCAATATGAATCTTTACAGCTGGGCAGCTCAGGCAGCCAATGACACTGAGGCTAACCTACAGGGCTTGCGGCATCCACTAGATGGAGCTCAAACTACAACAAATGAATTCTAAGACTCCTTTTCAAGGATCTTATGAGCGACTGTCCTTCACTCACCTACCCTGTAGTCTGGGGTTTTGCAGCGAGGGTTACATACCTATAGGAGGACTTCTCCTGCTCTAGGTTGCTGAGGGAATTGGCTTTAAGGACTGGTCCAGGTGCTATCACAGGCTTAGGAATATCTGCAGGCTGAAAAAACAAACATGGGCCTCTGCTTTAGTGATTCTTGCATTAGATTTAGATTTTGCACACATATCTATCATTGTGCCTGAAAGATGTAAAATTGTTCAGACAAAAAAAATAAAATAAGGAAGAAAAATCTCATATAAACAAGCTTGCGTTTTCAAGATAACTACATATCAATGAAACATAACATACCATATCCTGTTGGACTCCATTTACACCCTACCTTGTATATTTTATTATCATACATAAATGTTTTTTTAAATAGGATTTTTATTCAAGATTATAGCTATCTGTATTTAAACTAGGACTCTAACCAGTTTGCTTTTAGCAATACAAGTGCAAATATTTGAAATGTGATGAAGTTAATACAGAGTTCTAACATCAAGTTTTTAACGTTGTTGGGTTACTGAGCCAGAATCCTTATTGTAACTAAGGTGAGATAAACATACCCGGAGTACTGATGAATCACCTCCCTCTTTAGCCCTGTCCATAGAAACCGACCGTTTATTCTCAAACATCTTGACCCTGTTGAGCACTGACTGTGGTTTCATGGCTGGGTCCTCATCCAGGTCTTCCTGGGGTGGAGGTGGAGGAGGTTTGGACCCTGGGGTGATTGCTGGATCGCCTGGGGAGGGCAGGGCCTCTGGTTTAGGTGGAGGAATGGTGGGTTCAGAGTTTCTCATAGCATCATGCATCCCTGGCTTAAAACCCCGGTTTGGAGGCCCAGGCATGTAGGTCGACCTCAGCCCAGAGTCACCATAATACTGCTTCGAAGGCTCTGGTGATCGAGGGGAGTTAATGGGGAAGCTGTGGGTCTCTGCTTCATATGGGGAACGTGCATCGTAGCCTGCCGGAGGGAGAGGTGGTGGAGGGGGCTCATCGTAACGAATCGGTCCAGGTTTACTGTGGCGAGGTCTGCCATCATAGCCCACTGGTGGGGCCTCATCATAGCGTGGCTGAGGGGGGCTGTAGTCCCTTCCCGGTCCATCCTCATAGGGGGACCGGGGATTGTAGCCCATGGGTTGCTGGTGGCCCGGCTGGTACCCTGCGGGCTGGGAGGACGAGGTCTGCTGGTCATAGGGGGGCCACTGTTCGTTGTAATGAGGCACACGGTTGTCGTAGTGCAGGTGAGAATCAGTGTTGTGAGGCTTTGGTTCCGTGTAGCCGCCTCCATCATATCCGTAAGGCGGGTGGTCGTATTCGCGGTATGGCTGTTTGTCCTGGTACGGCGGCTGGTGACTATAGCTCATAGACTGCTTTAGGCTATGGTTGATTCGCACAGGGTCCTCCATATTGTAAAGATCTTTCTTGTACATCTGTGAAGAAAAAGAATTAAATGAATGGATCCATCCCATTGCAAACTTTTAACAAACCAGTGCTGCAGGACAGAAGGCAGCCAGTATTCTCCCAACACCAGATTAAGATTAAATTAATTAACAGGAAATAAACTAAAACCTTGAAAAGTTTAACAATAACATTAACCAAAGAAAATCTCTCAACTGATGAATTAAACCAAGATTAAGTCAAAGTGCATTTACTCAGGCAAACCTTTTCCCATTATTAAAAACAGTTCTGAATGCCCGTTTGACAAGATGCCTTTCAAGAATGGTGGTTATCCATATAAACACAAGTGAATTTTACATCTTTAAAGTTTGATAAATGGCACACTAGCAAGTAATTTGTACATTTCTGAAAGGCCTCGTTTCAAACAAATGATGTGTAGCCTGTAGACAGCAAATCTAGTTACAGTACTTCCTATGGAAGGTTGATCTGTTGGCATATACAGAGGGCGTAACTACACAAGAGAGACATAATGCAGTGTGCAGATGCAAGTTTGTTTTTCCATAGGGAGAATTGCTCATTGAAAGGAATTTATTACCAAGAGTACTGTCTGCAGGTTAGCTTTCATCATGCAAAAAACATTCAGTTTGCATATAATGCAATGTCAAACTACTGGCACTACGACAGACAACACATCTACCCACTACGATGCTACTGTGACACTATTTTTCATCTACAGAAGAAAAGTTGAAGCTGAAAGGAACCCAAAAAACATTAGGAGCCATGCAAAGGAAGTAAGGCAACAGTTAGGGCTGGTTGTGGATGTCTTCACCCTGGTCAAAGACTCAGATGTACCAGTCCTTCTGGTCTCCCAGCCCACTGTGGTGCATGTGGACTAGTCTGTCACACATTTTCTCTGGAAGCCAGAGGCACACAGTGGGCTCAGTGAGTCACACAGTGTGGGCGTGTCATGCAGAGAGCAAGTGGAAAGCATGTGTGAGAAGACAGGCAGTTAAAACAGCAGGCTGGGGCCCAGGCCCGGTCCGAGTGGCTGGTGAAACAGCGGGTACCTTTGGTTCTGGACCAGGCAGTCCAGACGGGTGGGGTTCATGTGGTGGTGGTGGGGGCTGAATAAGCTCAGGGGCAGGGCTGGGGCTGCTAAGTGAGTCAGCCTGGGGAGCTGCGGCTGCAGCAGGCGGCTCCTCTAGGTGCACACCCTCTAGCTGTACAGACTGCTCAGCAGCAGGGGTTGCTACCGACGTCGGAGGCAACGAGGGCATGGGCACAGCAGCCTCACCTTGCTGTGAAGTATTGTTAAGAGACATTTATAATACAGCCTGCCAAGGGCACAGAAAGTACAGCTTACCCCAACACCGTGATCTTCTTCCTTACACTGAATCAGTTTTACACCAGCCAGAGAAATCGCTTGCAGAAATGTGATTAGAATCGATAACATACCAGTAGCTTCTAAAAATATTCATTACTTAGTCAAGAAACTTTTAATCTTAACAAAAAGGTCAGGACACATCACTAAATACAAAGGAGTAATTCCTCTGCTCTTCTGTCATATAATTTCACCCATGCATCCATCTTTGAAAGGCAAAGCCTGTCTGCAATGCCAGATATGAACTTTACCTGCTGCGGAGCAGCCATCTTGAACCCAGCAGGGTCTATGCGATTGGCTGGGTCAGGCTGCACGGGGTGCTGGTATCCAGGGTAACCAGGGGTGTCCTGAATTACAGGAGGATCTTCTCGCACAGGCTCTGAGGAGCGGGTGATGGCAGGCTCCGTGGGCAGACCCACCTCATCATTCAAAGTCTCATCTAATTCCTGGTCTGTGTATGCTCCACCTTCTGTGTCTGTGTCCTCATAGTCAGAAGTGTGGCGGCTGTCTGTGCTATACATTGAGTATTCACTACCTGGTGCTGAAAGGTAGGACAAGCGGTCATCATGGATATCCAAGTCATCCTCTGTAGTACCATCCGCCTGAATAGAGCAGAGAAACCGTCACCTGATGGCTCATTTATTTACAGTAATGGTGTTCAGTGCAGCAGAATAGACTCACCTTGCCCTCTGACACCCACACCAGCTGGTTCTGCTGTTGCTGGATGGTTTCCTTTAGCGCTCCATACCAACCATCGTTCATATTGTTCAAGTTGATGGTCGCTAAGAAAATAGTTTACATTACAGGCAGCTCATTAAGAACAAAGCATGTTAAAAAAAAAGACAATTTACATTTTTTCCATTTACTGGTATTTTTGTAACTCTCTCCCACTTACTGGTGAACAGGTGGTGATTATTCTTCCTCAGTTTAATGGCTCGCTCATAGAGCTTCCTGGCACTCTTCCTGGACTCTGGACACAACCTGGTCCTCATGTTCTTCACACCCTGTTTGTTATCGGGATTTAGGAAGACTACAATCGGGTACCACTGAGCATAGTTCAGCCTGTCCACAGCATTTGGAGTGATGTCCAGTACAGCATGTTTGTCCTTCATTAAGAAAAGAAAGAGTTATTTTTAACAAATGCATGCACACAAACAATTGTATATTATTTTTTAAATCTATGCATGTATCATAAAGAGCTCACTCTGTCGATGATCTGCTTGATAGTGTGAAGACGAATTATTCCTGAACTACGCTGGTCTGTTCCTGCATCTCTCGGTTCACTCTCTAGGAAATGAGGTGAGACAATTTTAAGACAAATACATTTTCTTGAGTACTAAATGTGTTTTATGCAGTTTACTGACATACTTGCAAGCTCAAAAAGATCTGGCTCTTCTCTGGAAAGCTTTTCACGAGCAACATCAGCAATAGGTCCAAATATTACAACCGGTCTTAGGAAGCCAGCTGCACAACGAGAAAAGAAACCATTAACAGACTTAAAAAAACTGTGCTGTTACTCTTAAAAGGGCTAACAGACACCTCACCCTCTCTCAGCACAACTCTTTCATAAGCTGGGAACTTTGTTTGGACTGGCTGTGAAGAAAGATCCTCTCGGCTCTTCCTCAGGTTCCTCTTTGAACTGCGAAGACCACGGAACCTCCAGAAGTCAGCCCTGTCTCCACCTGCTGTTTTGGGGAGAGTGTATTGCACACTGGAGAGCTGCTCTGCTCTGTAGACAAAAGTAGAGATACTGTCATTAGGACTAATATCAACACTGCCAGTACACAAAGACATCACACACACACACACACACACACACAAAGACATCACACACACACACACACACACACACACAAAGACATCACACACGCACACACACACACACACACAAAGACATCACACACACACAAAGACATCACACACACACACACACACACACACGGAGATTAACTACAACTCGAAAGGAGATGAGAAGGGATGCTTTCACCTGTTTTTGTTGGGGATGATGCCCCTCTCCACCTCCTGATGGTTCTTGCCAATGCGAATAGCCAGCCAGGAGCCTAATTTGCCGTTGTAGAGAGTGTCCACCACACGGAACACCTCGCCCTTGTTAAAGCTCAAACCATACGGCGATTCCTTCTCATACTCAAAGTGTGTCCGGATGTAGAAAGAGTCACCAACATCTGATTCCACAATCCGCCGATATACTGAACAGTACAGAGCGTTAAGTCAGTATCAGCAAACCAATCAGCTTATTAGATAATTCTTAGTTCTCTTTTCACTTCCTTTACCATCTTTCTTCTTTTGGGCTAGAATGGTGACCTCTTCACCCTTAGGAAGGTCCAGGAGGAAGAGCACCGCCTCCTCTCGGATTATGTTTGCAAAGTCAACATTATTTACCTGGAATTTGGAAAAAAGCATGTTTCTGGTTTATGTTTTTTATGGTTTTCATACAAAAATGTTTTATTTTGGATTTTCAAGTTTAAGCAGAAGCTTTTATTGTTCAAGGAGCACATCTCAGAAAATGTAAATCTCCATTTAAACAGAGGTTCGCATAGCTTTTCCTCTTCTCTGAAATGCCTGGGTAACTGCAGGTTTTATTGCACTACAAGAAGTCAAGTCATTCCTCAATATACTCAGAGAATAGAGGAGGAGGAACAAACAGTGAGATATACGACTGTGAGGGAATGGGACAAACACAGCGAGAGGAAACGGTGTTTTTGTGTACGCTCCCTCAGGGCTATTGCTAAGAGACCAGCTTGAAGATAGAGGAATTTTGGAGCAGCCAGAGTATAACACCATGAATATTTAAGGGAATGTTTCAGAAACATTTCCCATAAAACACTACTGTTTACACGCACTATGATGTGCCCACTGTTAAAACAAAATGGCTTATCCCTTTTTTCCACTTTTCTCTCCAAACTTAAATAGCTCCCCTTTCTTGTTCATCATATGTGTTGCAGTTTGTCTCACTTCACAATCAGCTTACGTTAAAAATAATCTTACCCTGAGAATTTGGTCGCCCTCCTCTAGGCCCTCCTTAGCGGCTGGACTATCTTCCAGCACTCCAGCTACGAAGATGCCCACGTCGTTCCCCCCAGCCAGCCGCAGACCCACACTCTCCCCCTTTTTGAACTTCACCAACTTCATGCTTGGCCTGAGAATAAAAACAATTGCCAAGTTCATTTCTTTTGATATGACTTAAATGTCAGCCAGATTTCTCTACAGAGATTTCAGTATTTTTGCTAATAACAAAAATAACAACAGTAAACATTCTCAGACACAACCACTGATCACTCCGCGTCCTGCTCATTCAACTTGGCAGCTAACCATTAATGGGGGTCCCATTGCCCTCGTTTTCAGCTACAAATCTTCATTACAGCACACTTCACAGCTCAAAATAATCCACAAGCCCTTTTAACTGTTCCCTTCAAGACCACCCTCCCTGTTGTATTTTCTCCCGACTGGCTGCACCTTGAAAACAAAACATGTGAACAGCAGGTGGGAGGGGCTGCTGTGCTCACAGTCAGACCTACACTTCTGAGATGACCACATTTAGGGTATCCTTTTTATCTGAGGCTAATGAG